CAAACACCACATTCATGTCATGGTCCCAACATTTCTGACAGACCATGAGCTGAACATACACCTCTAAACCACACTACATACTTGGGCCAATTCTTGAGATATGTGCCTATGGACATGTCTATGTTACAACGCTGGTAAGAGAACTGGTAAACTTGGAAAATTATGTTCAACATGGTTGAAAGCAAGGCATGCAAAAACAAAATGTAGAAAGTATACAAGAGATATAAATTGTCATAAGTAGCACAGTCTCCCCCCCTCCTTTTTTCCAAATTATACTAATTACTGGTCAGTTAAACCAACACAATATCCTCACCTCAATCCAATAACTTATAACACATACTGCATATAGTTAAGGTAATGAAGCATCTTAATCTCTATACTTTGTCCTAGGAAGGTCTATGGGGATTCATAATGACTCCATATTTGTGGGCCCTGATATGCTTACCTAAAAATAAATAATTCAGGATTACTATCATAATCATTTCCATTATGATAGCTGCTCAATGAACTCAGATAGGGAAACAATATATATGCATGCACATATACTGCTTACTGAACTACATTATAATATACCTATAAACGTAATATACAATCGTCATTGGAATATTTATCGAGTATAGACATAAAAGAACACTTACTGTTAAGATTCAAACCAAAAAAATCGTCTTTAGATTGTTCTTGAGGTAATTCACGCTGTTTTAATCTTTCTTCTTCTACGTCCAAAATAACTTCGGCGTCCTCATCTCTGAATATATTGTATTTGGAAGACATTGTTGATGGTGTTTTTTCAGAGAAGTTACTGGAGCCCTCATTTTCTTCTTTTCCTATTTCAGAATTTTTCGAACCACTTCGATATAATCTACTTAGCTGAATTCTTGGTGAAAAAACATTATATAAATGCCTATCGAATTGTAAACACAGGGCATTTTTTAGTCCACACTTTCTTAAGTAATTCATTATTAACCACTAAATTTCAACACATTAAATACACGATTTCACACACAATATAGCCTTAAATTTTTATTACGTTTTCCACGTACTAAACAAATAGTGTCACACAGTTCATCGGTATTGTAGCAAACACAAAGCTATATACCTTTATAATAAATAAATAATTTTGTAAGCCAACGTTGGCAATACACGCAGCGATAAATATATCTGTGACAAGGAAATCCTTAGACATTCTTGGAATCGGAAACGAACTGCTGCTGACATCTACATACGCTTTAAAAAAACTGAAAATGGCTGTCTGAGCTGTTTTCAAAGGTACTTGCTGCCTCCGTCATCAGGGCGATGAGTAACCCGAGCGCGGAAAAAAGAGACAGAGGCTATCAAAGGGCGGAGTCCTGTGCAAACGCAAGACATCGTCCCTTACGAGCCAACACCATTTCTGCGCATGATACGCATTGCTCGAAATGGTAAACGTCGTCCTACAACTAAATCGGAGGTGTGCTTACGCTAACATGGGGTTTGTCGTGGCGGAAAGCCTAGACTATTCAATCTATGGTCTGTTGCTGCTGGTGGAGGTTATCTCATCAGGCAACCATTTGGCTACCAGATCACAGCACTTCACTGTCTACCTCACGACCTTCCTCATTCCGTCACTTACCACCACTTATAAGATATTCCGAAGTATGACTATGAGGTCGTGCAGAATAGCACACCCTCCACACTAAATTTCATCCAAATCTAACCAGTGGTTCTCGAGTTGAATCAAATGGACAGAGGGACACACAGGACCAGCCCACAATGTGTTCTCACTATGCAATTCATACAAAGAACACATAATAGCAGCTGATAATGTATAAAGTGTGACTACAAGACACACACAAACTGACAACACAATGAAACAAACATGAATATGGTCACAAAACTTGAAGCATCTCACACTAATCTCAAGGATCATGACAATTATCTAAGAAAATATATTCACCTGGTCTTGATTTTGTAGAAAATCTCTGTCATTCTTTCTATTGTTTGCAATAAACTGTCTGATTCACCAAACATTTGTAGTACATTGGTTTAGTACTTATTTCCCATGATGAAGTGAATGCACTGCTTATATGTTCACTGATGAAGATTAGCTTTAGTTCTTACCAGAAGACTACAGCCAATCTCTGAAATGTATTCATTTTAAAAATTTTATAATCAGTGTAATTTAAATAAAAAACAATGGATAACATGAAAATAAAATATAATAAAACGATCTAATTACAATTAATTGAAATAATAGTTCAGTATACAGCCATATTTAAAAAAACAAAACAAAAGAACTTTGTGTAAAGTATAAAACAATAAAAATGTATTGAGCAAGTCTTTTGTTCTGATTATCAGATTCACTTTGTGACAATACCATCTACTATCTACTTAGGTCTATTCAGAAACACCCAGTACCAACTTTAACATAAAATAATTAATTTTAAATGTTTCTTCATATGACCTCTATCATTGGTAGACTGGAGTATCCCATGAATGTGCACAGATTATACAATGGTAACTGAATGCAGTGTTTGATTTTTCTCAGTCTAACCTAATGCTAACAAGAACATGATCCCATAAAGCAACAACTAAAACTATTTCTAGAATAATCAGTATGTGTTAATATTAATTAACCCTTTATAACCCTTTGACATTCAGAAATGTATCTTTCTTGTTGTGGAAACGTCACAACTTTTACCTATCATCACATCTCACTTGTGAGGTTTCCCATCCAAAACTTCTTTCTACGGCCATTTTCCACTTTGAATACCGATCATCTCTCTCTGAAATAAAGAAGTAATACCATTATTTAAATTCTTCAAGTTACTCGTTAAAATGTGTGGAAAGACAAACATTATATCACCACCTTTTCCAGTAATAAAAACTATGTGCTTTCAATAACAATACTTACACCATAATATTTTTCATATATCGGCAATTCCCCTGTCATTTCTCAGAAGGAATAATACATAAAGTGTGCATGCAAATAGCAAATTCTACTTATGTAAGAACAGCCAAACTATTCCTCTGAGGGCCAATGTTACTTCTTGCACCAACACCTCCACTTTCACAGATTATAGACAAAAATAGTGAGGTTATATTTTTTTGTGTCTAGCTTTCATGTCCTATTTTGGAGGCATTACTCATGTTAGTGATTTTGGGCTCCTGATACACATTTCTTGTCATAGATAATATTAAAAGGTTATGATGGCATAACAGTTGTGGTGCAACTATCAGGAATTCCCACAGTGGGGATACAGATATGCCTAAAGAGGGGTTTCATTGTTTTAAAACCTGAAGCTCTTTTGATAGCCATTCTGTGTTAAGACTGATTTTACACATGCATCATTCAATTTAATTCTTTTGCGCAACTCCATAGTTTACTTTCTTACTGTTTATGTCCAGAATCACAAGTGAAACATCAGTTCTTTATCATCAAAAAGAAGAAAATAATAAACAATCCATTCAGAATAGACCAAAGAAAACTTTTAAACATGTTCCAGGTGTCCTCTGGTTGAGTCAAAACCTTTAAATAGCTTACATTTTTCAGCTACATACAAACAATGAGTTTACGTGTATCCTTGTCAGCTATAAGACTATAGAATCACTTATAGGATAATTTCTTTTAGATGGTGTCCACTGCCTGGATAAGAAAATATAAATGCTGCTATGAAAGTTGGCTCTGTCCCCATTTTCATGTAGAAGAAAGGGTGTCAACACGTGAAGCCTGCTAGATAAATTTCTCTCATAACTACTGTCACAAACCTTTATATTACATAATATTTCATTAAAGCAAAATTTAAACACAAAAAACAAAGAAAACTTCATGTCAAGCCCTGAGTAATTTCCCTCATTTCTAAAAATGAGACACAAACCCTGAGAAACTATTTCTTACCATCTTCTGTAACAAGTGGATTGAAAATATCACATGGGGCAGGTTGTATATTGTTTAGATCCCAGACTTCAATTCCTTCGGCACTGCCTGCTGCCATGGCTGCTCCCAAAGCAGTCGTCTCTGCCATCAGTGGTCTCACTGTTAATATACTTCATCATTAACTTACAGGAAGAGACAATAATTATGAAGAATATGTCATAAAACATAGAACAATTTACATAAAAAGAATCTTACACATGCACAAGAATGTTCCTGAATTGGAAGTAAATATCTTTTGTGGGCTATTCATTGTGAACGAAGCCTTATTAATATCAAACTGCTTGGGACCAAAAACTACAAACTTGGAATTAAATACATTCAAACATGATTATTCATTGTTAATCCTAGTAGTTGAGCATAGGACCAGTAACACACACTAAATACTAGTTCATAAGTTCAGAGCAATGCAGTTCTCATAACAAACACTTTCATTTATCTAAAAAGAAACCACATATTTCGATGAACACTACTCACAACTTAACACAGTGTATTCCGGTTAATTGGGACACAACTGGACTAGAACACTTTGGCCCAATTGTGTAAAGAGTTAAAAGGTTTAAAACAATAGATCTGTCCCAAATAAAAGGCTGGCCCGATTAACCAGAATCTAGTGATTATAATGCATAATTGTTTATGTATACAATATTTTTCTTGTTCCCACAAACAACAAAATGTAAAAATCAAATGTGCTTCAGGTGAAGTTCTTGATTACGTGCTGCACGTGATACACCTAAAAGTTTTTGAAGAAGTTTGGGGTTTCATAAATATTCTTATACGTCTGTGGACAAAATAGCGAGGGAAACATTTATCTTTATTACAAAAGTACCTCATTGTTCAAAGTTCCTATAATCATAAATAAAACCACAAAAGAGGTTCTTTTAGCTTCTCTTATTTTAATTTTTGTGGAGTCCACATTATGAGGTCACCTTAAAGTGAAATACTTTCAGTCAGACATGCCAGTATCCAAATTTGAGATCTAGGTTGGTTCATGTTATACCTAGTTCTACAGTACAGAAATGTAACAGTGCTGGAGAATAGTGAGTAAGGAGTTTTCAAAACAATGTAGACCTACATAATACTGAAGCTGTCCTCTATTGACCATAATGACACTTACTGACAGAAATGCCAACCAAATCTGCCTGAGTCTGCATAAGTAAATTATTAGCAGTCATGCCACCATCAACTTGCAATCTTGTAAGCTGTAAACCACAGTCCTTACTCATAGCCTCGAGTATGTCTCTTATCTGGAAGCAAACTGCTTCCAGAGCAGCCCGGATAATGTGACCTTTTGTTGTTTCATCAGTGATGCCAGAGATTATGCTGGAAAAAGCAGAATATAACCACCAGTTTGGCATACAAGGCAGAACAATTGGGCAGGAACAACGAACTACGTTATTACTTAGCGCATACTTCACATGAACTATATATGTTATAAAAGGAAGAATATTTACCAGAGCAGTCCTGCATAGTTGCAAATTATAACAAAACAGTGATTTCCCACCATGCTATGACTGGCACCTTTTCAGAATGTCTGTCAATCTGTACACTAGCATTCACATTCTTACATTTACATTTATTCTAAGTTGGTAACTTTGTCTTTCATATTTAATTTTAAATTCATTTTCACCTACCCCCGTGCATCCTGTTGCCAATATGGTGCGTACAGACCAGAGAATGCTGGGACAAAGTACACATCTCCAGTACTTCCAACTCCACCAGCTAGAGACTCAATCTCCGACATACTTTGCAAGATATTGATATTGTCCCTCAGCCAACCAAGGGCTGCACCAGCTACAGCCACTGAACCTTCCAAAGCATACACAGGAGCCGCTTTCTTGCCCATCTGGTAAGCTACTGTCGTTATCAAACCATGAGTTGATTCAATTCTCTGCAATTATATTTCATCGCTAACACCGCATCACCATTATCTTCATACTAAGCAATGTCAACATGTGTCATGTGAGGGGAAGAAAAAGAGGCACTTATGGTAGATATTTTTGTTTGGTTTGTTTGTTTGTAAGTGTTTGTCTCCCACACCAACTTCTGAACTAACAGATATGAGGTTCAGCATCAAAACTGTGTCAATCACGGAACAGCTTGGTATTTTGTTTTATATAATTCCCCACCACACCACAACAAGGCAAGAGATTATGAATTAAAATTGAGAAAATGCTGGAAAGTTCAGATTCTGTAACTAAAAATATATATAGATTGTTACTGTTAGCTGAAAATCAAATACAGGACACAAATTACTGGCTAGACATTGCACACCAAAGTTCAACGTGGTTTTCTTTACTACATTTAACACTTGTTCATAAATGCATTCAAAGCCCTCACTTACAAGACACGGATGCCACAATGAAAATACTTTAAACATCCATAAGATTTGTTTTCTTTTGAAATAAAAGCATTATTAGATTTGTAAGTAAGAAAAAGAGTAGAATACCCTTCTTATACTGAAAATAAAACAACAGTTGTGCCTTATTATTAACAAAATTCTGTATACAGGTACCCAAAAATTCAGTACAAAAGAATTGCCAACAACAACAAAACAAATAAAAACAGAACTGGTAGCAGAACGAAGTATCTGACAAACTTACAGCAGTGCCAGTGTTATAGAGCAAAAAACAACCAGTTCCGTATGTGCTCTTGGCTTGTCCTCGTTCGAAACACATCTGTCCAAGAAGTGCTGACTGCTGGTCACCAAGACACTACAGACACAAACAACATATTTAAATATTTCATTTTAATAAAACTACACATTAATAATAATGAAGAGAGTTTTAATTTTCAATTGAAAAACAAGGTTATGTTTATGAATATAATTGAACTATTTACTTACACCTGAGATGGGAACTCCTTTCAAAACACCATTAGCAATAGAACCATAAATTTCAGATGAACTTCGTATTTCAGGGAGTAAATCCATTGGAATTTTGAAAAACCTATGCAACAATGAACAACACAGTGACAATTATAGTACAACTAAGACAGTGTGAGGGAGTCAGAAAATTTTTCTGCAGCGTATCATAAATAATACGGCTGAACCCTTCCATTTTAAAACCAAGAATAATTCCAGGATTATCAGTAGGAAATCTTTGACATCTGTAGTTAAGGATAATTAAATTACTAATGAAAAACTATTATTTTAATTTTTATACAAAATGTAATGCTGCAAATTATAGGATCTGAAGACAAGCAGCATGATAATGGATCTTTATAAACAGAAAACATTCCACTGTGAAATATACTAACAATTTTAAGCTGTTCAGCCAACTTTTCTTTAGGATGCACATGGGATGTAGGATCATTCTCTACTAACAGCAGCACACACTCTTCTCAGGATTCACTTACCTACATAACATTGGGTCCCACTGAAGAGTCTCAATATTCATCAGCATTGTTCTGGAGGCATTTGTTACATCTGTGATTCGTATACCTCCATCCTTCCCACCTGTTAAATTCTGGAACAAAGGGCAAATGATCTGAATTTAAGTTCTTCAATTTCAGTTACACAAGTGCTATGATCTGTTAATGTGTATGTTCTCTCAATAATAATGTTGGAATTGACTGTCTAATTTTCTCGTCATTTTAAAGTTTATCAAACTTCATATCCATAAAGTATTGTATGCTGAAGTAAGCAAGGTCTTCCAGACAGAAGACAATAAGATTTCTGTCTTCTGGGTTGTTGCGCTGTGTAGACTGGTCATCAGGGCGATCATCGCCCTGATGACGGAGGCAGTATGACCTCTGAAACGTTGGTAAACATCGACCAGACTACACAGCGCAACAACCCAGAAGACAGAAATCTTCAGACTCACCGCTGTGAAAACCTCAAATCTTACACAGAAGCCAATAAGTTGCAGATTCAAAATATTAATATGGAACTGCATGAAGAAAAAAAAAAGACTTGCAGAAGCAGCAGTACCCTCAAAATATCTACTTACATAAATTTTGGAAACAGAGAACTTAAAACTTTAATGACAGAATTCATAATTACATACAGTCAAACCCTGTTAGAGCACCTCACTTTATCCACCAACAGTAGTATCAATAAATTGAAACTGCATCCCCCAGTGCTGACTAATGGGTTTACACCATAAAAAGGGAAAACATATGGCACTATTGGGCTGGCTCTGGGACCTTGTTCTTCGTAGGCACACGTCTGTTTTTTTTACTAACAATTAACGTTACTGTGACAAGTTTGGTGATTGTATTAAAACTAAAGTGTGTGCAAAACACTTTCATTGCTGAAGAGTCCATTATCCTGTCAAATATGGGAAGGAGCAGGGAGAAATATCTGTAACTCTTCTACCAGAATTCTTGGAATGTTACCTGTTACTGTACGCAGCTTATCTGCATAATGTTTTCAAATGAACTGATTATAATTGCCAAAATTTGGAATGTCACTATTTATAGTGCAGAGTCTAAGTAACAATTCATCTTCTTCCGTGAGTCACTGTAAGCAGATTTTATACGTGATATTATAATGCTTTTTGGTACATTTGCATTGTCAAAGATGTTGGAATTTTAATGAGAAATTCCCTTTGAAATTACATAGGGGATTGCAAGGGTGGCAGTATATACAGGGGCACTCTGTAAGATTAACAGTTTGATTACCCAAATAAGCCATGTGTCCACAGTGCCAACACAGCAACGTTTATCATCTATTGCTTGTCGAACTTTGGGAACATTCTCTATAAGCCAGCGCAACTTCAGAGCGCTAAAGTACGGGCTGATTGGTAATCCACATACAGGCTTCAAATAATTCAAACTTTTGCTGGGCACAGTTTCCAATATTGCATCCACTGTTGATGTTGTCCTCATGTCCAGCCAAACTGAAAAACAGCACAATTGTTTGATTTTACATGAGCGGGCCAAAGTATCAATCATACAGCATATGAATAGTGGAAGCCGATATGGCACTAGCAGAAAAACAAGCTATTTTCTAAACTGTCCAATCAAAACTATTAATCAATCTTAATTTTGTATGCTCCCTTCTGAAGTCACTTTCTAAAGGTGTACAGTTTATCGTAATATAATATATTAGAATTTTGGATTGTGTGAATTGTGGACATACTTATACTGTTAATATGCTTTATTACCAACTGCATTATGTAATGGCTCTCCTGTTATTGCATCCCATACAACAGTCGTCTCTCTTTGATTTGTAATTCCAACGGCGACTATATCTGACAGTTCTACTTCCTCTGACTGGAGTATTTGTGAAACTTTGTTGATACAGTCCTTGACAGCTGTTAAAATTTCATTTGGATCCTGCTCAACCCAGCCCTCTTGAGGATACGTATTGGTTATTTCAATCTGATGAGATGCTACAACTTCTCTTGTATGTGCTGCAAATACCTGCAAAAAATATGAGAACAAAAAAGATAAAATACTTCATCTGTGATATTAATACTGTGTCGCTTATATTCAGAAGAATAACATTAAACCTACAGTATAATAAATTAAAAACTGTAGTTCTGAATTTTACTTCTGTTTAAACAGTATAACTGACAAATAATAAAATACCAACTACCTACAATTACTTTTTTCAGTAACAAATTTTCTACATATTCCATTGGAAGTTTTTGGACTCCGATTAGGACAGGGTGAGACTAAGTCTGATGAATATTCATACACATATTTTTATATTAGTTCAGGTTAATTATTTGACTGTATACTTTAACCCATATTATGTAGAATATATTACACATTTTTTTCCAAATTCTCCCATTAATCCTTTTAAAGCTAAGTGGTAAATATATGTACCAGATCCTTTAATAATGATTCTCAATGTAAACGGTAATTACTTCCATACACAGCATTAACAAATTGATCTTTGTAACGGTGAAGTGTTGTTTTCTTTGCAGTATAGACAAATCCTTAAACATTATTTAGATAAGCTTTGGCTTTCACAAGACACACATTTTTGTCAGAAATTCTGAAGGAATATCATAAATTTTTTCATCATAATATTACTTAGAATAGTCCCTGCCATTAATATAATGATTATGAGGAACGACATGAGGTTTGTTACTTACCAAAAATCTAGCGCTGCTCGTGCCTTCGTCTATTGCTCCAACAAGCGGGCCATACTTTCCAGTTGTAACTGGCATTTTACTACAACAAAGTCATTTGGAATAGACCATTGAATCACAATGTACAAGACAGCAATTTATGAAAGAAGACTATGGCAAAATCAAATAAACCAAAAATCTACAGGAAATTCAGAATTCAGACAAACAACAACAGTTTCAAACACACATCACTAGTTGGAAAAGTAAAAAGTGGTACCATTGGATGTGGGAATGTCAGGAATTTTCAGTTCAGCAAACAGCATGCACTGTTCAAAATAGCATACAGCATGGAGCAGCATTATTTTACTGTCAGAACATTTTACCTGTAGTTTTGTAACAGTGCAAAGACAGTTTCAGACAAAACTGAGCATGCAACAGGCACCAGCAAGATCTGCAATCAGCCGTCTGGCACGGAAGCTTGAATTAACCGGTAGCGTCCGCGACAACAAAAAAGATGCAGTGGGAAGGCACGGGTCAACATGCACGTAGGGCAGCGCTGCTTGTGTACATGAAACGCTATTTCAGAGTCTTAGAAAATCTGCAACAGAATGCTCAGAGTCATTTGGTATCGAAAGAACATCAACATACTATCATGCAATGGAATCTGATATTGCATTCCTACAAAATCCAAGTGGTACAGATGCTTAGTGTGGTCTAAAAGCAGCAGAGGTGAGTTATTTGGGACTTCCTATAGTTTGTGCACCACCTTGGACTGCCTGTGGTTAGTGATGAACCCCATTTCCACCTTGATGGGTTTTCAGACAAGCAAAAACACAAGGCTCTAGGAATCTGAAAATCCACACAGAGTCGTGGAGATATCATTTCATCCTGCAAAATGTACCATATAATGCAAAATCAGCGAGCAGGTGATTATTGGATTGATATTTGTGGAGGGCACCATAATAAGCCAGCACAGATCGTGACGGAATGATAATTTCGGTAAATATCGGAAACTTTTACATAGCCACTGTGGTCTAGCGGTTAGAACGCTGGCCTTGTAATCCTGGGGTATCGGGTTCGATTCCCGGCGGTGCCCGAATTTATAACTTGTGTTGGGCAAGGCCGTGGTCTAGGCAACACGGAGTTTTCCTCCGTGGCATCCCAACAATTACTCCATCCACACACAGAAGAAGGCAATGGCAAACCACTTCTGGATCATCCGCCAAGAACGTATATGAACAGGTCCCAATCCGAGAAAAGGATGGAAGGATCCTGGTCATATGGACCTGTCCTCAGACAGAAAACTAAATAAATAAAAATAAAACCATTAGGGTTACAGCAGATCACACAGGTGACATGTTCACTCAAAATTAAAAATAACGTACAGCTTCTATTAAACATGTAGAATCTAGCCAGCTTGGCAAAACAATGGTATTACTACTTCAATTTCAAGATTTCTTCAAGGCTTTTCCAATTTTCATTAAGTTTATTCCAGTAGTGAACGACAGCAAAAACGTAACAGGTCTGTCTTATTATGTAACCTCCAACCCACCTCATTCTTTGAGCCAGAGTCTTGGCAAGTTTTCAATAGGTTTCTTTAGTTCCGCCAGACTAATGACATTATGAAATTTCAAAACAGACAATTATGACTCGCAATTTATCTTCCTAACATAAGTCTCTAAATGCATTAGTAATGTACTAATCAAACATAAACAAGGCCTTTCACCAAATATGAGTGCACAAAATGTAACTGCTATTCTCTCACCATTTAAAGAATAATTATACAAATTCAATGAATCCATTTCTGAATAAATTTGTATATAATGGAAAAATTTCACAACTTCTATTACAAGTTACATCATTTATGTACCACGCCACATAAATGACAGAACAATATCATTACATGTTCCCACATTACACCAGAGAAGCAGGATAATATCTACAGTTCATTTTTCTCGAATGATGACTCTTCATTTGCATGGTACCACACTTTCGTAGGTAGAAGATTACAAAACAAAATTATATTAATAAGCAGCATGAAAATATTCTTCATTAGAGAGGGGGTGTAATCATGTAAGTGTAAATTAAACTTGTTAGTGTTCCAGAGGACTGACAACTTGATTCCTCGCTGGCCATCACACTGTCTACCA